AACAACAACAACAACAACAACAACAACAACAACAACAACAACAACAACAACAATAACAACAACAACAACAACAACAACCCCCAGATTAACTTCCTGTTCTTAATTAAGAGGAATTGAAAAACCTCTATTGTGTAGTCAAGCTTTTTATTGAGTCATTCGTGACACACAGCAGGTAATTAGTAATTGAGCTTCCAGTTACGTTCCATGAGGACGTGATAACATGCTGAATTGGAAAACGTTGGATTTTCCCCCCTTCTTTCCTAAATATTTCCCCCTCCTTTGTAACGATTAGGGTTGTGTGTGCGCACGCGCACCCTCGTGGCTTTGCATTTATAGCTTAATTAAAAATTTTCATAAATTTTAATTGCTTTCTAGACACAGAAGAGAACTAGATCTAGTTCATGTCCAGGCGAGAGCCAAAGCCTCTTTCTTAGATGCTCTGTGAAAGAAAAGGAAATTTTCAAGAAAGTGTCTCTAAAACATTTTGAATATTTATCTCGACCTTCTGGAAAAAAGTGTGACCAAACTAAGGTTCGTATAGGTAAGTAATACAAGCCATAACACCCGAAAGCTTTAAAATTTATCAGCCTCGTAAAAATGTCGAACTTCTACAACAAACAAGATCTGATTTTCCAAAATTCCAGTACATGTTTTGCCAGTCCCATACATAATAAGGAACAATCAATTTACAATTGCGGTCATATCAGTAAAAGTAAGTTTCAACCCTCCACTCACCCATTTTCATTCTTTTATATAAGCTAAAACCGTCTTCTGTGTATGACCAGTAGAGAATTTTTGGGTTGACGTCACAGCGAATAAAAAAATGTGAGTGGAGATCCCGGATGTGCGCAGTTGGTCAAGTAAGTTCTAAATGGTGGACTCAAGCTTACTTTTGCGGTCACATCTTTGTTGGGCGGTTTTTTTTCTGCTAAAGGGAAACTTAATTAACAGCGACATATTTGTACCTACGTTTTGATGTCGTTTGTAAGGCTTCAGTACAATTGTGTTTTGCCATCATCTGTGGTGTGGCGGTTAGGCCTTTCGTCATGGCACCAAGAAGACGTGAGTTCAATTTCTGTGTTGGTTTTTTTTTCTATTTAAAATCGAGGATCCCCGTTTGACGGCTGGGACGTTGATTCCATCTTATTTCCGGTTGGCCATGGCAGGAAAGGCCGAAGAAGTCCGCCTCCTAAATTCTCTAAATTACGTTGATAGATGCCTAAAATATCCGCTGAGACAATTATGATCTTGTTGTACAGACACTGTAAAACTTTATGCAAGACGATTTGGAAAGATCGGACCTCGGGCGCCCACATGATGATGGAAGAGTTTAGCCTCGACATCTTTTGGACTCACTGATTCGTTGCAAGCGTTGGTCAATCTTTAGCCCCTTCCCCTTCTATGCTACTGGGGCTCAGTACGAGGCAAAAAGGCACATGATGTGTACGTTTGAGGTTCTGAACTCCCGCTGTCGACACGACAAGTCAGAAAATATAGGAGGCGGGTTGCTTCAATCCTGAGTGGCATGCATAAATTCACTACAAAGACAGAGATATATTCAATAAAATAGACTTTCCTCAAGCGGATCAAACTCATGTCTTTTGCTGGCGATGGCGAAGATCTTAACCGTTACTCCTCAATAGAATAATCGTAATGCAGCTTTACTGGCTCAACCCCCAGGCAAAAAAAAAATGTTTTAAAAATTTAAAAATAATGATAAAAAAGAATCACGTGACGTGGAAGTTTGAGATTCCGAACTCCCGAGAGTCACGACTTTTCTCGAACTCCCGAGAGTCACGACTTTTCTCGAACTCCCGAGAGTCACGACTTTTCTTGAACTTCCCCGGATGTTTTACCCGGAAACTCGCGTTCTGTCCGCCCGAAAACGAAATGGTCTGGCTCTGAAACGGTGCATGACGTGTACAGCCGGGATCCTTTATACAACGGTATTGTATTTTTGAATCTTATAACTGATGACGGTGTGTAAAGAAAAAGTAAAGAACAAAATGGATTAATGAAACAACGTTATAAGCACATGGTTAAGAAACAAAACGGACGAACAAACAAACAAACGGAAGACTATGAAAACAAAAACAGGGCATTTAATTTCAAGAAAAAACATAAATAACAATTTATGAATTGCATGTACATAGCTACTAAGCGGATAAACAATCAAACAAACAAACAAACAAAACAAATAGACAGACAAACAAAACAACATACAAACAGAACACCAAAGCGAAAGTATTGCGTTGAAGAATTAAATTCAAATTACATTAAAAAAAACCCACGAACAAAATGCTAACAGTGAGAAGGAATACTCACGTCTTGGCCACAGGTACATTCGGGCACGTGTCGGTACCGTCAGCTGCGCCGTCAAAATAGCTAGCAGTACTGACGTCATAGCGGCAGAGCTTAGTTCCGGTGCTGGCCAAGGCCTGCATGGCCGTTACGTCAGCCACTGCATCCGGGCATGTCTTGACGCACACTGACCCGGAAGTGGTTGTCGGTGTTGTGCTCGTAGACACAGTGGTCAGTAACGATTCGTCAAAATAGAACAATTTCCTGTGAAATAAACCAAAGAGAAAAGATAATGACCAAAGTGATTTTCTGCTGTGTTACGTTTGCATTAAAATTTATCGTTGGCTGTTTCACTTCCTGTAAACTTAGACAGACCTAGTCGAAATAGGATAATATTAATCCTAATGGTCCAGGGACTGCCATGTTAGTTTGGTGTTTCACCACACAAACATACATACGCTCGCACACACACACACACACACACACACACA